CCCTAGCTGCCCTTCAGATCTGGTATTGAACCCACACCTGTGGCTTCCAGCCAAACAAAAGACAGGCATATGAGTTGAACATGTACCTGAGGTAGATACACTCCTTAGAGAGAACAATCATGGGAGAAAGAAGGGCTGTTTATGCACTGGGAGACAGTTCAGGGGACAGGAGTGCATGGAGGGATGGACACAGGGAAGAGGTAATTATTGGGAGGAAGTGGGAGGGGAGCTGTTGCATTGAGGTAAATTGTAGTCAATGACATGAGACAACATGTGTGTGAATTGCTGTATGGAAAGTGAATCTGCTCTGTAAACTTTCATCCAAATCACAATTAAAAAAAAAAAAAAACAAGGCTCCAGGAATTGATCCATTGAGATGTTTCAACAAACAGGTATATAGCTGGAGGCACTTACTTGTTCATGCCAAGAAATTTAGTACATAGCTACCTGGCCAACTGACTGGAAGAGATCCATATTTGTGCCCATTCCAAAGAAAGGTGATGCAGAAGAATGCAGAAATTATTGAACAATTACCATTAATAATGCATGCAAGTAAAATTTTGCTGAAGATAATTCTAAAAGGTTTGCAGCTGTACATTGACAGGGAACTGTCAGAAATTCAATCTGGATTTAGAAGAAAATGTGGAACAAGGGATATCATTGCTGATGTCAGATGGATCTTGGCTGAAGCAAGGACTACCAGGAAGATGTTTACTTGTGTTTTATTGACTATTTAAAGGCATACAACTATATGGATCATAACAAATTACAGACCACACTGCAAAGAATGAGAATTCCAGGACACTTAATTGTGCTCTTGATGAACCTGTACATAAATCAAGGGACAATTGTTCAAACAAAACAAGGGGATACTGTTTTAAATCAGGAAAGGTGTGCATCAGGGTTGCATCCTTTCACCATACTTATTCAATTTGCATAGTTAGAAAATAATCTGATAAAGTGCTCTGTATGATGAAGAATGCAGCATCAACATTGGAGGAAGACTCATTAACAACCTGAGATAGGCAGATGACACAACTTTACTTGCTATAAGTGAAGATGACTTGAAATACTTACCGATGAAGATCAAAGATTACAGCTTTCAGTAGGGATTACACCGCAACATAAAGAAAACAAAAATCCTTCGGTCAATAAGCAACATTATAATAAACAGAGAAAAGACTGAAATTTCCAAGGATTTCCTTTTACTTGGATCCACAATCAACACCCATGGATGGAATCAGCAATCACTTCTTCCAAGACAGATATTTATTTTGACAATCCATGATATTTTCAGTATTCTTCAGTAATAAAATTCAAAGGCATCAATTCTTCTTTGGTCTTCCTTGTTCACTGTCCAGCTTTCACATGCATTATTAGGCAACTGAAAATACCATAGCTTGGGTTGGGTGCATGTTAGCCTTCAAAGTGCAAAAAACACTTTAAAGGGGTCTTTTGCAGCAGATGTGCCCACTGCAATATAACGTCTGATTTCTTGACTGCTGCTTCCATTGATGTTGATTGTGGATCCAAGTAAAATAAAATCCTTGATAACTTCAATCATTTCTTCATTTATTATCATATTTCTTATTGCTCCAGTTGTGAGGATTTTTGTTTTCTTTATGTTGAGGTATAATCCATACTGAAGACTGTAGTCTTTGATATTCATGAGTGTGCTTCAAGTCTTCTTCACTTTCAGTAAGCAAGGTTGTGTTATCTGCATATGGCAGGTTGTTAATGAGTCTTCCTCCAATCCTGATACTTTGTTCTTCTTCACATTATCTAGCTTCTTGGGGTACATAAAACTCCAGAGAGCAATTTATCCACTAGAAAACTTTGTTCACTGCTCTATTCCTTAACTTCAAACAGTGCCTAGACCTCATTCGTTATTTGTTTAATAAATGTTTTCAGTATTTACAACTTGACAAACAAGTCTAACTTCCAGGCTTTCATTTCTTCTTTGACAAATAATTAAGAGTCGCAAAATTACTTCCATCCCCCAAATCAATTTTGCACCTTCCTCTGTAGCCAAAAAGTGACTAACTTGCTGGCTTTCGCACTTACCAGGGGTTCCAGTTTTATCCGCTGCTGTCGTTTTCTTGTCTTCTCCTGAGCTTTTGTAACATGTCTAAATGTCAGGACCTGCATATCGGATGCCTTTTCTATGGGGGCTATGATACTTAGCCTTCCCTTTGTTCTTAAACTACTCAGTCTTGTATGCATAGCAGTTTCTACCTGTTCTTCAGTACTTCTCAGGTCGAGGTCACTGTCTGTGGCCTGAAAAGCCATCCTTAATCCTGTGAAAGGTAGGGACAGGAAAAGAATAATGAGAAGTCAAGTCAAAGGATTGAGGGAGGATGTATACCAGAGAGAGACTTAAGGACTACAAAGAGCAAAATTCGCTCATCCTCAAAGAAAACCTCTCAAAGTTAACCCCGTGTTTCCAAACTGAACCTGAACTAGAGAAATGAAAACTAGGAAATGGGCTATTCTCCAGGAATCCCTGCAGCTAGGGTGGAGCCCAAGAATTTGTATTTCTAACAAGCTTCTGGGTGATCCTGATGTTACCACAGGTCTAGATGTGAAAAGATGAAGATCATAAAATAGTACGGAGACCAGTGTTTCCCACCTTTGAATATGAAAACATCTCCTAAGAAGCTTGTTCAAAATGCAAGTAATTCTAATACAGGTAGGCTGAGAAATCTCTCCTACATATCCATGAAGAAACCAAACAAAGGAAAAAGAGGTGAGGACTAAGGCCAAGAACAGTGCTCCTCTAGCTTTTATGTACGTAACAGTCACTCGAGGAGCTTGTTAAAATGTGGTTTCTGAATCTCACACTTTGAGTAAAAAAAAGCAAACTCATTGCAGTTGAGTGGACTCGACTCATAAAGACCCCTCCTTGGGTTTCCGAGGTGGTATCTCTACAGAAGTAGATAGCCCAATCTTCCTTCCAAGGAGTGGCCGGTGGGTTTGAACCACCAGCCTTCTGGTTATCAGTCAAATGCTTTAGGCACTAGTCTTAAAACACTAGAACTGTGAACCTTTCCAAATGGCTACTCCTCACCACCAATCGCACTCCCACCCCACAAAGAGTTGGAGGTACTGCCCTTCAAAGCAGTATTATCGAACAAGACATCTGAACCAGATGTCTGCAGACCCAGGTTTTAGTCTAGAGCAGCACTGTTCCAGAAATATATGATGCAATTTTAATTTTTAAGTAACTACATTCCATAAACACACACATACAAAAGGTGAAAGTAATTTTAATATTTATTGACTATTTATTTTAAAAATATCATTTCAACAAGTACAATCAATAGGAAAATTATATACTTTACACCTTTTTTTTGTACTATGTATTCGAAATCCTATGCCAATTTTACATTTAGCACACATCTCAGTTCAGACTAACTCCAAGGTTGTACATCTTTATTGACGCCTACTCCAGGAGGAGTGGCTGATGGATTCGAACCACTGACCTTTTCGGTTAGCAGGCAAGTGCTTAATCACTGCACCACCAGTGCTCCTTTCTGCATGTGCCTAGTGCCGACCATATTAAAAGGGGCAGGTCTAGATTTGACCACTCAATTTGAGATCCTGGGCAAGTCTTATAATTCTTCTCTTCATTTGCTACTCCTCCAAAATAATGGAGCTCTGGTGACAGAGTGATTAAAGCATTCGGCTGCTAACTAAAAGGTGGGCGGTTTGAACCCACCAGCTGCTCTGCAGAAAAAAGATGAGGCAGTTGGCTTCGGCTAAGATTCACAGCCTCAGAAACCCTCTGCGCAGTTCTACTATGTCCTATAAGGTCTTTATGAGTAAGAATCTACACGGTGACAGTGGGTGTTTTATTGTTTTGTTTTGTTTTTTAACTAAAATGTTTAAAAAAAAAAAAAAAGTCACTGCCGTGGAGTCGATTCTGACTCATAGGACCCCTCCTTGGGTTTCCGAGGCGATATCCTACTAAAATGCTAGGTCATTAAAAACAAAACAAAACGAAACGAAACGAAAACTCATTGCCATCAAGTCGGTTCCGACTTATAGCGAACCCCATTGGGTTTAGGTAAATAATCACAGAAATGCCTTTCTACTGACTTCTGAGTCCTTTCGTGATGTACTCCGAAAGACACACCTTGTCTCCGCCCCCAGAAGTTGGAGCCCGGACCCAAGGCTCTGTCCTGTAGGACTCACCGGATCAGATTAAAGAGATCGTCTGCCAAGGGTCTCCAGAGACCGAGCAAAAACTCCTCTGGGAATAGAAAGTAGGCTCTGCCCGGGAATGTTTGCAGTTACCTAGCAGCCACCAAACCCCTACAGACGCGCACTGCACCACGCAAGACATGTCGCCACGGCAACGCCTCAACCAGTTACAGCTCTCGGTCCAGGGGCGTGTCTGGAAAAGTATTTCATTTCCTAAGTGTCTGGTTGGTGGAGATGGCGGACTCAGCCCGCCCCATTCCTTCTCCGGGCTTGTGATTGAACGAATACTGCCTAATTGTGTTGGTTCCCTCGCTTGTCGTTGTTGTTGTTGTTGTTATGTGCCGTCGAGTCGGCCCCGACTCATAGCGACCCCTCCTTGGGTTTCTGAGGCAGTATCACTACGGAAGTAGGATTGCCCAACCTTCCTTCCGAGGAGTGGCTGGTGGGTTTGAACGTTAGCCCTCTCTTATTGCCCCACTTACCCGTATCCCTTTTCTATTTTCCCTCAAAAGGCTTGAAATTGATTTGACACTGGCTTTAATCTAAATTTTCTCAGGATATAAGAGTCTGGAATCGCGGAAGAGGGAGATGCGTTGTGTAGACGGTAAGGTCCCATCCTCAAAAGGAACCACTATCTTGTATCACTGCTCTACGTTCGTCTTCGTCCAGGAAATGCACTATAAATGGCTAAGCATGCTGACTCTTCTTCCCTTGAAACTCCAACTTGTCTTTACAACAAATGTTCTTACCTACTTGGAAGATAGCCTAGTGGCAGTCAAATTACAAGCATAAGATACCCTTCCGTCATATTGAAAGCACATGGCATCCATTCACTCTATTTGCTTGTACTTCGCTCCCTAGCTGCAAAAGAAGGAACTTGCATATTGTTCTGGCTTTTACTTCCATCTAAATAATTCCCCAAAGGACTGCTGCTAATGCGGTACAGAGGCAACCCCAGGGAAGCCCAGTACAGGCTGCTTACTGAAGATACCTGTCCAAGTTAATGATCAGGGGAAACAATCCTCTCACCTGCTTGGAGAAAATGTTACACCCGATGGCAGAGCTCTAGTTTTCAATCTTCCCTTCAAAATAACAGAAACCCTGCCAGAACTCAATATCTTCCTTGACTTTTTCTTTCTTTCTTTCTTTCTTTTCTGGCCTTTTTATTCCTTTGCTACCTTAAGTGCCAGATCCTACATGAAGGGCTATAGACATCTTACTCACAACTTCCTTTTTCTTAATCTTAACATATTCAGGTATATTTTATTTGGTTGGGATGACATCACCTACAATTTAGAGAATCATACAAAGATAAAGCTGGAATGGAGTTGTGTACCCTCATGTCGATTTTCTCAACTCACAGCGACCCCACGTGGCAGAGTGGCATAGGGTTTTCTAGGCTGTAATCTTTAATCTAATACCTATGTGATTAATAAGGAAACTGTGACCCAGAAAGAACAAGTTATTTACCCAAGGTAAGACAGCTAGTTGTGGCAGAGGTGAAATTAGAGTAGAGGTATCCAATCCCTGATCATGACTGGAAGCAGAAAAGGTATAAAGTCAGTCTAGAAACAATTCATAAATACTTCAAATGTAATAATATTGTTGCTGTTGTTAGGTGACCTAGAGTCGGATCTGACTCATAGGGATCCTATGCACAACAGAGCCAAACGTGGCCCAGTCCTGCACCTTCCCCCAAATCGTTGCTATGTTTGAGCCCATTTTTGTAGTCACTGTGTCAATACATCTCATTGAGAGTCTTGCTTCTTTTCACTGGGCCTCTACTTTACCAAGTATGATGTCCTTCTCCAGGGACTGGACCCTCCTGATGACATGTCCAAAGTATGTGAGATGAAGTCTTGACATCCTTTCTTTTAAGGAGCATTCTGGTTGTACTACTAAGATGAATTTGTTCATTCTTCTGGCAGTTCATGATATATTTAATGTTCTTCACCTACACCATAACTCAAAGGCATCAATTCTACTTCAATCTTCCTTATTTATTATCCAGCTTTCACATGCATATAAAGCAATTGAAAATACCACAGCTTGGATCTGGCACACTTTAGTCTTCAAAGGGACATTTTGCTTTTTAACACTTTAAAGAGCTCTTCTGCAACAGAAACTCCTCTATTAGAAGGCAGAAATTCTATAGTTAATCAGTAAGGAAAAACCTAAGGGAGAGAGTGACTAGTGATAGCTACTAAAGAAAGGAAAAGGTAACTACATCTAAGAGTTTTGATGTTTTTTAAAATGAGTAGCATGTGACACATGAAAAGATGCTTCACCTCATTAGCCATCAGAGAGATGCAAATCAAAACCACAGTGAGATACCATTTCACATAGGATAGCTAAGACTTAAAAAATGTGAGGAAATTGAGACCCTTATCCATTGCTGGTGGGGATGCAAAATAGCAAAACCATTGTGGAAAATAATGTGGTGACTCTTCAAAAAAAAAATAAGCATAGAACCACCATATGACCAAGCAATTCCACTCCTAGGAATATACCCAACAGATTTGAAAGTAGACACTCAAACAGACATGTACACCAATGTTCTTTGCAGCATTGTTCACAATGGCCAAAAAGTAGAAACAAGTTAAATCCCCATCAGCAGATGAATGGATAAATAAAATGTGATACATGCATACAATGAAATAATATTCAGCCAGTAAAAGAAACGAAGTCTTGGTACATGCTACAATATGGATGGAGCTTAATAACATCATGCTGAGTGAAATAAGTCAATCACAAAAGGACATATTGTATCTCCTCAGTTATATAAAAAGATAAGAGTAGTCATATATAAAGACCAAAGTTTATTAATAGTTACCAGAGTCAGGATGTAGGGTGAAGAGAGTGCTGTATTTTAAAGAGTACTAAGTTTTCATTCACAGTGATGGAAAAATCACGTTGATTAAGGGTAGGATTGCACAGCAATTTAATGTAATTGCTGTCAATAAGTTGTACACCTGTAAAACGTTGAATTGACAAAAGTTGTGTGATATATTCATAACAAAGACCAAAAAGAAGAAGAAGAAGAAGCAGTAGCTGCTGAACCTGCTTATGTACAAGCAAACATCTCA